TGGAATACTCAACAAGCGATTGCTCAAAACCAGCCTGGTGGTTTGGCAAATTCACCGCCAACTAACCCTGAACACTTACCTTCGCGTGTTACTGCTGAATTAAAAGAGATTCTAACTAAAAACGGCACTGAACAATGTCTACTCAGACATCCTACAGACTCCAAGAAATGGACAGTTATGACGCCTCGCAAGATCAAAATCTGGGTCGATGAGATTGTAAGTTGATTTTTTTGATATCATTTACTGTAATTTTGCTCACGAGACTCCACCATATTCAGATAGCAGCACGTAAAGAAGGTCGTAACAATATCACCGTAGACATTCCACCTCCCTTACCGTGCTTCAAGACATTCATCGGTGGAAGACTTCCTCCAGGCTATCGAGAGTTTCCAGACGATCCCCCACCAGCTGGATTCATGGCTGCTGCTCCAGCACCTATAGTACAAAACGAAGTCACTCTGATCGCCCCAGCTCAAGTAATTGATGACCGTATCTATCAAAGAAAGTACTCTGGAACCTTTGAAGAATTTTTAGATTATGCTGATTTTCCTGAAAGCGATACCAGCTTGAGGGCAAACTTAAATACAGGGCATTACACTCGTTGGAGCGATCTCAAGCCAGGTCCTGATATGAACATTGCTGAATTAAAGCTTATCGGAATCCCTCCAGGCGATGCAAGTCATCTCCTTTCTAGTGCAGTTAGGTACGAGAAGTTTTTGATGGAAAAGCTTGCTGCACTGGATGCGCAACAGCTTTGATTCATCAGTGCAATCTGCTTCCATTTCTCTCAGTTTTTATTTTATCTTTTATTTAGAACGGCTTTAATCTATTGCATTCCTCCTGTCTACAATGTTCTGCTTTGATAGCTCGATTTTTTGTTCGTTCTTTGTTTGGGTTTCTTCTGCTTTGATAGCTTGTCTTTTTGTTTGTTCTTTGTTTGGGTTTCTTCTCCTTTGATAGCTCGTTTTTTTCTTTGTTCTTTATTTTGTTTTCTTCTGCTTTGATAGCTTGTTCTTTTGTTCGTTCTTTATTTTGTTTTTCTTCTGCTTTGATAGCTTGTTCTTTTGTTCGTTCTTTATTTTGTTTTTCTTCAATCTCTCATTAGTATTTGCTTTTGATCTTATTAGCGTCTGGCTCATTTTCTTTGTAATCAAAAGTACCAATAAAAAAGTTTTTGCTTGGCTTCCAATAACCAAAGCAGTGAGATTGAGCCAACACCACGCATACATAAAGGCCATGAAAGACATTCGAATGAACATTTCAATTTGTATTATTTATATCAGAATGTCAACCTCAATAAACTCGCTTAGATATGTCAATCAGAAAAAGCAACTTTAATGATTGGCAAATAGAAACCTAATGGTGCTCTTAAGAAGACTGAAGGAGCATTGCAAATTGTATTAGAGCAAATAAATGACAACATCGTGTCTTTTCACATACAAAGTCACCAAACAACATCCAGTACAACTGCCATCATACTAAAATTCAAAGAAAATACACTGCTCTGACTAATTGAAGTTCACCAAAAGATCTTGATTGATATAATCATGATTTAGATTTGAACTATGAGGTAATTTACAATGAAGGGGTACATTTTGATTCATTCATTTGAAATAAATTTCCGAGGATAAGTCTTGAGAGACTGGTCAAGAGTGTGGTGTATGAGTCGATTAAAGAATTGTTTTATCAATCAAAGGAAATTCATTCGATGTATGATCAGTTTATGAAATATGATCGGATCTCATATTGAATGAACTTACTTTTCAAAGATATACTCCATGGTAAAGAGAACGGATGAGCTCGGGTGTCAGTGCGTTCTCACCATGACGATAGATGACCTCTGCTTCCTCATCCATCGTCATGTGTTCTTGAAGTTCGCCACTCCTTCGAAGGTGAGCCTTGATGATATCGAAAGATTTCTCAATTGGATTGTACTCGGGGCCATACGCAGGTAGGTAAAGTAATCGTACACCAAATTGATCGCACAGTTCTTGAATATTACCACCATGATGAACCGGTGCGTTGTCCAAAACAAGGACACTGTTTTCAGCTGGGTAAGAATTCATCATAGGAAGCTGGTATGGAAGACGCGAGATATCAGATTATTATCAAAGATAAAGATAATATGCTGATGGTACCTACCACATGGTGCGACAAGAAGTACTCCAAATCTTCCCGAAGAATTGAGCCTTCCTGAATAATCATTCCAAGACAACCACTCAAACAGATGGCAGGGAGTAACGAGTACTTTCTTGATTGTAGAGTCCGAGGTAGACGTCGTGTACGTTGGCCTCTTGGTGCACGAGCTTTCTGTCGGTAAAGTCTGCGAGCTGCGAAAGCACTCTCATCTGTTCAAACCCAAGTCAGTTCAAAGTTGAATAAGAAAATATGACAATTGGTATGCTTTCTTAATGTGCGATCTTAGAGTCATGAATAAATACATTCAAGACAACGGTTTGTTCAATTCCACCGAAACCAGTGAGGTTACACACCAGTTGTAAATCCACACTGGTTCACAAGCTGATCAGACCTCTGCACCAGTCAGAGCTCTGATCAGCGTTGCTGATGGAATGTGAATTTGATCCTGTTGTCTCAAAGTGTATTTATTGACAATTCTAGGATCACACATCAAGAAATATACAAATACGAAATACGCTTACCAATGAAGACCAAGCACAATGGATCAATTGATCCAACTTCATACAGATACCTGCCTACTTCTTCGGGGTCTTGATTCGGGTGGACAGTTTTTTCCACCTTCAAGGTTAGACCAAGACGATCGCGTACCTCACGAGCTAAAGCAGTGATGGAGATGTCTATACCTCTTTCAATTGAAAGTTGGTGTGCAAGCTCGTCAAGGTAGATAGTCGGTTCAGTATCAATGGCGTTCTCGATAAACCTGCGGTGCTCGTTTGATAAGACAGTCGGCCGGCCACGAGGATCGTAGAAATCTGGATCTGAGATGACTCGCCGAGTATTGTTGAATAAAGCTAGCCATCGAGCAAGTGAGTCTTTGGAGACTTCCAGCGTAAGATCAAGATTGATTTCGTCTAGTGTCTGTCCACGGAGATGCTTGTGGATGACAATGAGTTTGATATCGGGCGAGTACAAGACAAACCCCATCGTGGGTGCGGAGGAAACCTATGAACAAAAAAATGAACGAAAGAATCAACAGCAGAACAGGTGACCCGGTAAAGTTGAGAGCGAAAACGAACCTGGAGAACAAGCCTTCGATCGAGAGGAGGAACTGGAGAAAGCGATCCAATCGGTGGATTTGTTGGTTGGTGGATCGGCTGGCACTGTGGTATGATCGTATGTGTATTGTCAACTTGTTATGGGCAATAATATGTAAAGTACAACCCTAACAGCCCTAACCGCCCCCAAAAAAAAATTCAAAAAAGCAACCTTTTCGGGAACGGCTGTAGTTAACATTTGCATGAAAATTATCAGATTCACATTGAGGTCAAGAGCCTGCCTGGTTGTTTATATTGTGGAACTCAAGCACCAAAACAGCCATAATTTACCCATTTTGTTGCCTTGGATGTGTGAGAGATTTCTCTAGAGTTTGCAAGGGTCCATGTGGCATCATTATCAAAGGACAATTATTTGATTGTAATGAGGAAGTGATGATGTGTGTTTTGAGTTTGATCTGTACTGGTTGGGATTGTACCACCAGAGAAAGTGAATTTGGTTTTTAGGTTTTGTTTTTTGGGTGAGCTGAGTGACTGCATACACAACAATCTCATCTTTCCTGATTACCGTATCACTTCGTCTTTCATCATGTCTTTCCTCAAAAATGTCTTTGGCTCTAGTTCATCTCGTTCCATTTCGAATTCTGTCGGCAGTACTTCTCGTCAAGCCAACTCGGCACTCACTCAAAACGTTCCATCAACTCTTTCAGCTCTTGCGAGCTTTCAAAATTCTTGGTTGGCGATCAAAGTGAGCGGCTTCTTCCTTTTTAGTACTGATCGAACACTGATTGATTTGATCCTACTGCACCTTCCGATCAGAATGCTTTGTCGTCCCCTGCCCACCGTCATGTCCTCCTGGAATCAACTTCCATCAAGGACCGGCTTGATACGATGTGGGAATGTCTGGCCATAGAGAACCACATCCCTGTCTCGGTTGCCAATCCTAATGGCAGTGGCTCCCTCTCCTCTACTCACGCTGGTGAATGTGTGGAATACTGTCAGTGATCACGCTATTCAATATATCTCAAACTCTAGCCAATCAGCCTGACGTTTTGGGTCTACCACACTTTAGTTCTTAAAAATGATGTGCCCGGTACCCTTGTCGCACTCTCATTACCCGATCAGCCTGTAGGCGTTAAAGGACTGGTGATAGGATTCTTTCTATCACTTGTCGTCTTCATGGACGAACATTTTGTTGTTCACTCCAAAGTACACAAACCACTGGTTCGCCTCCTTCGAAGTTGTGTCGAACCTGAATTGGACGCTGAGGAAGGCGATGACGCCGGCTGGAGAACCAAAGAAAGTGCCTACGAAGAAGCTGTTGTCGAGGTGATGTGCCGTCAGTCTCTGCTCCTTTGATGGTCAACTGATTCTCGACTTTCGCACATTGAACTCGCGCTAATGGCCTTTTCTGACTGAATTTTATAGATCTCTGCTCGCGCATCAAAACATTTCCCCAGCTACTGGCTGTCTTTCTTCACAACCGCTCTCGCAGCACCACACAGAGCGATTCGCTATCCTGGCCCCCTTCTCCCAGGCTGCAGCCGGCTTCAGTCTCTTCTTCAGCGTCGCACTCCCCGATCTCATACTCAGTTGGACATCAGCCAAGGAAATCTGTACATTTTTCCCCTCAGACCCGACCGCTTTCTCCTTCCCCATCGCTTCTCTCTGCGGGGGGGAGCGCCCGCGATTCTCTCAACCATACCAATGTCGAATCATCAGTCAGTTCATCCAACATTTCATCAACGGTCGACGGTCATACATCCACTTCCCGAGTCTCAACCTCACCATCACTCGAATCCCCAAGCCCTGCTCTCAAAGGAGATTCCGACATGCTCATCTTTTCCTACCTTCTTCGATTCCTTCATCGGGAGGGCCGTACCGGCGATCTCGCCCGAGCTGGCTTACTTTTTCTAATGGAATTGGCCATGGGTCGTAGAATCCCCCCAACGCCAGCTTCTCCGCACGGACCGCTCCATAAAACACTTCATAGGCTCGAGGAGGCTGATAGTAAGGCTTTAGAAAGTGGATCAATGGCATTCGGCGAGTGGATCCTGGACTCCGATTTCGCTGATGTTCTAGGCGCAGGCCTTGGTGCGGCTTACGGTCTCTTACCGTCTAGATTAGTCATTACTCCTCGCAATCCACTCGACCATGATGGCAGTGGTGGAATGGTGCTAGGTGGCATGGGCACACATTTAAGCGACGATGCTACCGATCCCCAAACAGCTGAAGAACGCGAGCGTGAGCAGCGACGAACCAGACTATTAGTGGGTCTGGGCGTGTCCGGCTCAGAAGAATTTCGTACTCAAATGGATCTTTTCATGAAATTGATCGAATTCACTCAGGATGTTCTCCGAAATACCACTTCCAGCCCGCTCCATCACTACATTTCTGCACCTGATCCCCCTACTTTAACGTCGTTGACTACCCCAAAGAAGCCTACTCTGACTGGGCTCAGCGCGCACACACATAGCCCCTATATCTTCGCGCCCTCTGAAGAAGTCGACCTTGGTCCCACCCCATCTGAAATAGTAGCCGCAGCGATCTCATCTTCCGTATTAAACTCGATCCAGAAATTGTTTTTAAACGCTATCATGTATCCATCCATTCTAGAGTGCTCAGAACAGGATGGTAGTGCTGTAGCTGTGATGAGCTACCTTGAGGCTATGCTCTCACTCCTTGAAACAGATGGAGAATTGGCAGATGGAGTACTAAGATTTCTGATGACGGAAGACGATGAAGGATTGGACGTGAGCTGCTCTGCAGAATTGCGAATACAGGCACTCAAGCAAAGTTCTGACCCTCCTTTTTGCACATGATGTATTTGTAGCCAATGCCTCTCACAGGGAATGCGCCGCATCACCAGTCAGCTCGTGACGTAATGAACCGACGCCGCAAGTCCGGCGCTATTCAAATAATCGAAGCTGAATTCAACAAGGCCCGAGGTCACGGCAAGGGTCCGGATGGGTTGATGTCCATATCAGGAACTGGAATCACTTACTTCAATTCACTAGGTCGATTCACTCTAAAGGACTTGCTGATCAATAACGTACGGTCTCTAGATGGACCAACGGCTACTTCAGCTCTCAAACTCTTTCATGTCATCGTCAACCGACATGATCGATACGCCCTTGCATTATTGGACATACGGCCCGATCCTTGTGCAACTGCTTTTCCATTTCCAAATGACGTTGACGAGCTCTTACACCTTAATCAAACAGCGGGATCTAAGCAGCTTCAACTGTTTGGCTCAACAGGGGCGTATCCAACAGAAGATGAAGATGACGAAGACGACGAAGAGTTCACTTATCCCGTCATCAATCCGCCGCAAACTCACGAGGAAGAGATGTTTGTTTATCCAACAACGGCTAAGAACGAAGATGGCCCCGAAGAGTTTACCTATCCTGCACACGACAGAGATTCATCGGTCCCACGACTGGATCCAGCCCCTCATCGCCTTCAATCCCAAGTGATGTCTACCCCAGCCACCCCGCATTTCCTCAAACCAGCCTTGGAGCTAGCCGACCGGATACAACGTTCACCATGCCCAACATATCAGACCCACAGGGATGCGTTGGATTATTTGACCAGCTTGATTCAATTGATCGAGCCTTCGGGAACAGTCATGAAGCAAGACATGTCTCAAAACCCGATGAGTACTGCATTTGGACATTATCTCCTGGACGCGGAAACTGAATTAACAAACACCGCAACCTTTCGGCGTGGCTTGTTATCTGACTGCGTGTCAGCTTCAATCATGGGTGCATCGTCTCAGTCAGACTCCCTGCCTTGTATTTCCCCTCAAACAAGCATGTATACTCAAGGAGCAAGATTGGACTCCGAGATGAATTTGATTGATTATCCAGTGATCCGACATGGGCTTTCTGCAGAGGCACCTCTAATCTCAAGTCTACTCGAATCCCTAACAAGATTCTTCACCCAATCACCAGAATTAAATTTGATCTTGACTGGGTGTGTGGCTAGTCTGGCCTCATGTCCAACCAGGTCCCTTGACGGATGGCTTTTACCTGTTTTGAACGGAATTGAGGGAAAAATGTTGGATGGAGAATCGATGTGGGTGACCGAATCTTCGAAGCTCGAACTCGGCCAAGACGATGGCGATGACCGCTCAATAGATTTTGCAGTTGAGGAATTGGCAACTTCTATCGCAGAAGAGTCTCGAAGAAAATCAGCTTGGGTGAGCAGTGGTGAGTTTGGAGACTCAGTTCTAGAGATCTATCGACAGTTAGCAGAACAGGTAGCTAGCTATCGTAAGAGCGTCCCTGGATTTGATAAATATCTGCACGAGCGACGTCAGGGGTTGGTATTTGTAGAAAACTTGGAGGATGCTTTGGAAGGAGACACCAGTCCGTTTGGGGCGACCGAAGAGGCCCAAGCCATGTCTCCACCTCCACCTCCGCCAATAGTTGAGAATGCACCTGCGACAAAAATTGCAACTCCTGTGACAGAGCCGAAGTCGAAGCCCAAGGAAATCTCTTTTTTTGCTTCGCTCTTCCGTCCAGCAAACGGTGCACCAAAAAAATCTTCGCCCTCTAATCGAGCCTCGAGTCGTCAACCACAGACGCCTACTGCACAAACCCCCGATCGCGCCACTGGATTCCAACCATTTAGTGAGCACTATCGTCAAACGGGTTCGATCAAGCTGAATATCACACCTGTTCAGACCCCAGCATCAACGAAAAAGCATCAAAGTAGAAAGAATGAATGGGATTTTTCAGATGATGAGACTACAAGTGGACCAGAGACCCCTACTAAAAAGACTAGGAATGGAACTCTCGTGGTAGAAGATCAAAGTCATAAAGAGGATAGGAAGACGAAGACTTCAACGAGTCTTTCGATGGTGTTGGATAACGTGGTAGTGTTAGAGGAAGCATTGAAAGAGATTGGAGCGATTGTGAGTGCAAGGAAATCTTTAGGAATTGATCCTGTTCGGTTTCTTTAGGTTCAATCTACATCGTAGAATTGTAAGCTATTAAAGGGAAAGAATGCTGCTATGAGTATAGATGTACATTGCTAGTCGGTCTGAGTGATAGCCCTTGGTTTAAAAGATAGAATATGCCATCACAAAATTTTGGGTTATAGAATGGTGTTGTGATAGTAGCATTTTAAAACACACGGTACTTAGATTTACATCATAGAGAATCATTCATACCCAGCGTATGGGAATGAAAATTCGCTGAATTTCTCTCATTGCTTGCCCTTGACTTGAAAAATGATGGCATTTTCATATAACTTGTCTGAAAGTTGACAGAGGTAATGGATGTGTTAGTAAGAAAGAGTTGTGTGTGACCTATCACAAGCAGGTTGAAAGATTGAGTGAGATATCCTGATTACTCAGTGACATTTGAGGATTTGTGTCTAAGATAAAATTGATTTTTTTCAGTCTGCTTTGCAAACATGACAGAGCCAATATTGGTAAGGTCAGGGGAGCTTGAATTGATAATGGTTTCAATGATGTTTGAGGTGATTTAAGGTCACTTGTCAGTGAGCGTTGCAGTTTTTTTTGTTGGGGGTTAATTGAAAAATACTCAAGGGAGCAAATGTTCAATGTATAATTTCTTGGTACATGCTAGGACCACGCCTACAATTTCAAACGTACCTAGAATACGCCGCTTGTGAGTTTTGGGGCTCTACTCGAATAAATGGTGTCAAGTCCAACGTTGACTTTGGATGATGGATTGGGAGACTCAGCCAGGGTCAACCTCATGCATTATTTCAGGCTGAAAGTAGATTGATATACCACATTGAGTGTATGATTTTGCATGATTATGGGACACCATACACCAAAATGTTGATTGAGTCACTATATTGTGTTTCTAATTATATATATCTGATGCTGAATTGTGCACAGACGTACATCTGAGATACAAGAGAGCGGGGCATTTTCAAAGGAGTAAAGCAAGGAAAAGTGCGTCGACAAACTCATTGAACCCGAGATGAATATCGACAGTACAAATCAAAACTCATCATAACCTTTACCACTCCTCATCTTTGTCCGCTTTGATTTGCCTTTGAAATGCTTCTTACTGTTCTTACCTGTGACGGGCAAGCCATTCGGTCCTAGTACCTGTACCTCCCCTGGTACAAGTCTCAAACGAGTTGGACAATCGAGTTGAGCGGCACGACCTTTGACTAGAAAGTGTGCAGATGGAACGGGTGCAACACCATGAAGGGCCACCGATTGGAAGAAACTTTGATCCAAAGCATCCGCTCGTCGCGAGCCAGTAGGTCGAATGTAGGTATCGGCATTGACTGGGACTCGGTTGATAGGTGCCAGCTTGCGTGGGACGATGTTGGAACGTAAGCCAGCGGCATTGAACTCATCTGGCTTGATTCCAGGTACTGGCGGGGGTTCACAATACAAGAGTCGGGCATTGACATAGTCCTTGAGGATCGGACGAGCAGCACGTGATTCGTCAGGGCGACCTTGTCCACCACCACCGGTAGACAAACCCCGCGCGACGGCATAAGCGCACAGGAGCGCTGTAGCAGTCACGTCTTCGTCTGGGTTGAATTGAAGACCATAGGTAGCCTCGAGGATCGCGCGAGGGATTCGTCGAACGAGAAGCCCGACAGGCCCAGTGTGTTCGCGCATCTGATCGATTGGTAACACACCATCACAAACGAGTTCAGCCTTTGTGGAGGCAAACTGCGGGAAGACTAGACCAGGGCAATCACAGAGGATGACACGCGGTGATAGGTGAATGGTCTGGAAATGTTTCGTCTTTCCGGGTGTTGCGGATACTGATACTTTCTTGGCGCCAACGAGTGCATTGATGGTGGATGATTTACCAACGTTGGGATATCCAACTAAACCCACTACGAGTTTCTTCACTGTTTCAGTATCCGTTGGATCTGATAGCGTAGAAGAATCATGGGCGGCATCAGGCTTGGTAGGCGTAGGGTCATCTTGAGCGTGAAGAATGAATAAGTCCTCGAGTTCTTCGACTGTCAATATTTTCGTACGGTCTTTGCGAGATGACTTGCTAGCTGAAGGATTGGGCGCTGATTGAGGAATAGCAAGATTACTATCGACTTGCGTGGAAGTGGAACTCAGTTGCGGAGGTCCGACTGTTTGTGTAGCAGGCAGAGCATTGGTCAGTTCGAGAAACTTGTGATCCGGCCTGGATATTCAGATTCCTTTGTAACTGCCAGAACAAACGACAAGTAAGAAGACTCAACTTACCAATCGCTTCGTTATCCTCTTCCTTCTCTTCCTCATCATCACTTTCTTCATGATCACCATGTTCTCCAGAAGAACTTCCGTCGGAACTTTGATCTGCTTGAGCGGTTTCGTCTGCTTCTTCTTCTTGTAAAGCAGCGGCATCAGCAGCCGAGAAAAATGCATATTCGACATTTTGTCCTTCAAGATAATCAGCCCACACTTCTCGTTGATATTCCGAGAGAAGATCCGATTTATTGATGAGCAACAAATTCTTTCGAGGAGCAGCGAAGGGGTTATCTTCTAACTTTGATAGTTCTTCTACATATTTTTCAAGATCTTGACACCTGAACCGAAGTGGATTACGCGCATCAACAATTTGAACAATCAGTTTACTACGTTCTAGAACACGCCAAAGTTGACGCCAAACTTCCAAGTTTCGTTCGAACGGAGTAAGTAATAATGATTGTTGATCAGTTAATTCCGCCAATCCTTTACGCCAAGCTAAGAATGCATCACGTTCGGCTCTTTCGAGTTGAGCTGGAGTAGTGTCTCTAGACCAAATCGGACGGCGAGGCACTTGTAAAAGACTTTGATGTTCACGATGTACAGCTTCTAACTTAGCTTGCTCAGCCGGTGTTAGTAAATATGGATCTGCAGCCGTAGAAGATGAACCAGGACCGGTCCCAGGAAGGATGGTAATATTTTGACGTTCGGCAGTGAAATCTGTACCGGCAAGAGCAGCTGTGTTGAGGAAGTTCTCCAGATCATTTTCTTGAGTCACTGAGATGGGTTTGTTGTCATAAACTTCTGTGGTATGCTATTCGAATATAATCAGTATATGATGCAATGTTCATGTGTTTTGGATGCAGAAAATCAGACTGACCAATTCTCTTTCTCGGTCGACCACTCGACTTTTGGCTCGATGGTTCATGATGGCTTTTCCCAGTCCATGGTTGTGTGTTTGTTTTTTTGGAGGTGGCTGTAGAAAGTCTGGATGGGTTAGTCAAATGTGATGATGGTGTTTGAATGATTTGGAAAGGCTGACCATTTTGATTTGATGACCGTGAATGGTACTCTGATGAAAAAAGTGGTGATGAATGTGAAATTTTGAGTGAAGGTGTCTTAGACAAGGCTTAAGGGTAGAGCTTAAGATACATAATATTTTGGGTAAGTTCGAAAAAATGGTTGTCCAATTTTTACATACACACCCGCGCATTCAATTCAGTAGGTCATCAAGAACTATGACGGTCAAGCGCTTCAGTCATCGAACATTCTCACTTTCGACTATCAAATCAACTTCATCATCATCGTCTCATAAACCAATCCCTTCTTTCTTACCTTCTCATCGTACTCTCGAATTCAGACTTCATACTCATCCAACTTCAACTTCATCTTTCTTACGACGGACTCATCCTGAAATCCTTCCTCATTCAATCCCGACAAGAGATTTACCTGATTTGAATAATCCAACAGCTCATCTTTCAAATAATACCTCTAGTCTTGAGTCTGAGGATGCAATTGACCGGCTACGGAAGGCTACAGACGCTTTCCCTCGAACTACCAGTAGGAGGGAGGATAATTGGACAATAAGATGTACAGAGATTGACTCGAAGGGTGTGTGACCATGTGTGCAACTCTCAACAATCCCCATTCTTACCTTGGTTACTTTTTTGGACGCGGTAGGAAATGTGTCATCAAGTCATTCTATGTCTAAAAGCGAAATATGCGCACAAAACGGGCTACAGGTGGGTTAACCCATATCCTTTTTACAGGTGTTCCAGTGTTGATTGAAAGCAAAAGGATGGAATAATTGAATTTGAATGATTACTTTTGATGCAGCCGCGAGACTTGAGGCGCATTGATTCACGCATCTCAAACGTAGTCCCATCGATCTTGGTTCGAGATGAAGCAATCATCGCAAGTACAATCACACTCGATTCACCTCTGCTTAATATGATACTCTTTTGTTTACAGATATGATTGTTCGACTGACATCCATGTCGATGACTTATCTAGTTCAACGTACATAATATTCGAGCTCTGATCAAAGCAGATTCAGTCATTCTTTTCGACCATTCAAGCTTACCATCAGTTTCAATCTCTCCACCATCACCATCGTCAGAGAATGAACCTGAAAAACCTCAATTCGTGATCCGCTCGGCTTTTGCACACAACTTACTCAAAAACTTACGTGAACCTAACCTGGCACATCCAAGACAGTCCACGCCAGGGACTTCTACATCCTCACCTATAGGAACTGATCTACCTTACGAATTTAGGTGAGTCTTTCTTTTTTCTGCAGATTATGGTATCCTTTTGTATGGATTTTCACTGAATTGGTTGTTCGCACTCAAAAAGAGCTCTAGAAACGATGCTGGGATCAGTGGCATCCAGCCTCGAAGGTGAGCTGGGGGTACTCAAGACGTTGGTATCAAGTTTGTTGGACGGATTGGAAAGAAACATTGGTCAGCTTAATTTCTCTTTCCCCTCTGAATTTCTCTTCTTCTTTTGCCTTGCAATTCATTTCAAAAGAAACCCTTGCAAAACGCTCAAAACCGATCACGCGTCTCATATATCTTTGAAAAGTTATCTTTCGAAATTTCCACTTTCACTTTTTGACACATGACCTTCGAATTGTGTAACAGAGAGGGACAAATTGAAGCAACTACTGTTGTACTCACGCCGGTTGTCATCCTTCAACAGCCGGGCTGTACTTGTACAAGAATGTTTAGATGAGATCCTCGAGAATGGTGAGCGGACGCCCTTCCTCAGTTATCCTACTTGGCAAATGTCGCTGATAGGTTTCTTCTGGGTGATGACCATATGATACAGATCAAGATATGGCTAATGCTTATCTGACCGAGAAGATCTTGGACCGAGCCCCACGTGCGCCAGATGATCACGAAGAACTCGAACAGCTGTTAGAATCTTTTTCAAAATACGTTGAAGAGATTGTCCATGAGGTCGGTACTTTCATTATCAACTGAACTCTGTTATCAAGCTTTTCTTCAAATGTCAAATCTCGTCGAGGCTCTGATCATCGTGTCTTTTTCTTGCTTCGAATGTGTTATTCCGCTTTCCTAGGGCAAGTCAATCTTGGTTCGTCTGTTTTGTTTATTTCGCAAAACGTCTGAGCTTGTTAAGCGATACTAACTCCAACATCTCCATGTTCTACTACTCTTCCGCACATCACTTCACGGCATCTCTTCGGCCTCTACTGGTTCAAACCCCCTCTGATACCAAATCACGTAATTAGACTAACATCAAGAGCACAGAAGAAATCATTGAGTTGATTTTGGACTCAAATCGGAACACTTTGTTGGCTTTGGACTTGAAAGTTTCGATTGGTACAATGGGTCTCGGAACTGGAGCCTTGGTAGCAGGTGAGGCGTCTTGGCTGAACTAAGAAGACTGCCGCGACAGTCATTTTGAGACAAGCTTTTCTCATGACCTTTTTGATCCCTTTTTCTGTGGGGAAAAATAATTAGGTTTTTTCGGGATGAATCTTCGTACCAACTTAGAAAATGAACCATATGCATTCTTGGGAATTACGTGTGCTTCAATTGCTACAGTAAGCTGTGTAATTGGATATGGATTAATGAGATTACATCGACTTAGGAGAATTGGATTGAGTGAAGCTCAAGTTTCGCAAAGAAGTGATGGTAGTCATCAAGTGTTACAACACCGCTATCAACAACAAAGAAATGGTCGAGTTGGTGGTGTATTAGACTGGGATGGAGGTATGAGAGATAGTAGTAAGACTAGAAGGTTTTGGTCAAAGTGTAAAGATTGACTAAAGGATGCGGAGGATAGATTTACAGAGCTCACACAATAGATTTCTGTCGTATATACTTAATAATATATGTTGTACAATTTGGAATTCTTACATAAGTTTTTTTTGTTAAATTATGTTATGGTCACCATCCAGATGTTTGGAAATCAAAACTTGACGTGTAGCTTCTCACCAACTTGAGGTGGTATGTTGATGCACACACCCGATCACTTTAAAAAGGTCGGGGTTCCTCTTGACTTATGTGAAGCATCCCTGGTGGTCAGCCCCAAATATGCCTTACTGAAGCTTAACTCCAAATTTGTGGGCCCCAAAACTTTTGGCAAACCCAAGCCTGGGGCTTCAAAAGCCAACTCAAACCTAGTCTGAGTTGGCTTGCTAGGCTTGAGAAGTCGGCCGGATCTGCAAGAACACATTGCACTGCACTATCCTATACTTACTGGTGGGCTTGGAGTATAGCATAGCTGAGGTAAATACACTACAAGAGACAGGGAAGGTGGTGAAAGGACTTGTCAAGGCTATGATTTGGATATACTAGTGGATTGATACAATACTAAAAAAAGTCTCAGCAGCTGTTGAACAGATCTTGGCCAGTGGTTAGGATCCCAGGAAGCCCAGCCATTCAACAAGAAACATATCAATCAGGTGATTGAGATTTTGGCTATCTTACCAACAAAAAACCTATTGATTGGCAAAATTAAAAAACATACTGACTGACAAATACCACCACAGGTGTCAATTCTGTCTTGAATGGCATGTCAAGGAGGTAAACCAGTAAAACATGTTATGTCACCACTGGGCCAGGCACTGCCAACAAAGATGCCTCAGGTTGGAAAATCTGAAGTATCCTCGGATTGCAGTGGACTTGGATGTGGTGTCCGAGTGAGTGATCCGGGGCAATCTCTGTGGCCAAAGTATGCCTCGGAATGATTTCTGGGACACACAGTCCGAGGGAAGGTAGATCTGAGCATACAGCTGTTAAAAGTACTAACGGTAGAAAATGATGCAAATGTGTTGCACCCGGATTTAAATCTCCACAGGTAAAAACCCGATGAAACCCTTTTTTTGCTCCCAAAACCGTGTGAGAGCTGTCAGAGGCTGTTGATTCTCTGTTACTGTCCATATCTCAAAACTGCGAATCTCATCATCTGACAGAATAACCGCAGTGGTATGTACATACTGTTTTGACTCCCCACGAAGTTCCAGTTCTTTCTCCGCCCTTCTCTTTTCCTTTCTCTCAGTTCCATTTTCTAATTTTTTGTTATCCACCGTCACTTTCTCACTCTGACTTTGCCTTTTGAGCCCCTTCCTGGAACCATTTTGGCCGTGGTGAGCCAATTTTGACTAATGTGCTACTGGGCCTGACACTCATCTTCCTCTTTTTTTCTATCAGATGCCCAAAAACGTATTCAGCGTGGATGTCAAGGTTGTCGTAGTCAGAATGGTCCTTCAAGGAATGCGGTTTCATGACATCATCACTACCCTGGGCATGGGTCTCTCCCTGACCTCGGTTTGCCGCTGGTTCTCTCTATATCAGCGGACTCGAGCTGTGGTAACCAACCCAGTGGACCACATGGCTCAAGGTGCTCCTGCGAGTTTGGGACCAGCGGAAAAGACTTTCATACTCGACTCCCTTTGTCTCGACCCAACTCTTTACCTAGACGAGTTACAAACCAAGCTGTTTGATACTTTTGGCCTACGAGTGACCACTATGACGCTATCGAATGAGCTACGTAATCGGCTTTGCTGGACACAAAAAAAATCCAGGACGGTACACCCAAACCAATCAGATGAAGCTCGAGGTGCTTACATAGAGCGCATTCATGATATCGACCCCAGGTGCCTAGTGTTTACAGGTACTTTTTGTTCTACGCATGACTAGTTCATATTTGTATCTGAAACACTGATCATCTGTTTTCACTTTCAAACAGATGAGAGTGCCATCAGCAAACGTTGACTATATCGTGACTATGGACGAGCTCCTGTTGGTCAAAGAACCTCTCGACTGCAAAGGCCAACAGCGGCCGTTCGTTTTTCAGTACTCCCTGCGATATCGATGGATGGGGTCCTCGCTTGTAAAGTTCAGACAGGTGGTTATTCCCGCATAGATTTTGAATCTTTCTTGGAGGAAGATCTAGTTAGTTATTTCAGAACTACCTGTCTCGCATTTTTCTTTTTTTTTGGTATCTCATGATTCACTTCTTTCCCAGTTGCCTGCAATGAACCCATGGCCGGCCCGGAACTCCTTATTGGTCTTGGATAATGCGCCAATACATCATGGAGGCCGTGTTGCTGAGCTATGCGCATACCGAGGGGTTTGTCTGCTATATCTTCCGCCTTATAGCCCCGACTTCAACCCGATTGAAAAAGGCTTTTCAATCGTCAAAGCCCGATTGCGAAGAAGCCAAATTCTCCAAACAGCTTTGAATTTGGCCGAGGAGAAGGCGGGTATTTTCATTTCAACTATGAATGTTTTCTCTGAAACGCTTTGTACTGCCCTTTTTTGCGGGTGTGGTTATTTGTAAACCAATCATTTTGGTGTCTCTCGCCCAAGCCTGATTGGGGGAGTCTATGTGTGGTTTGGCTCTTCATGTTTTCAAATTGTTCTTCGCAATGAACATATTGATTTTTTAATCGCTTGAATTAACATTGTGAAACATAACAGTGAAGTTTTGTGAGATGAGAGAGACCATGAAGCGTGATCACAGCCACATGAGCTACAAATCGAATTGTAGCTTGTACCAAAACTTCAAAGAACTTCGATGTTCTTCGAATTTCTCTTCTTGGTCACACGTAGAAGACAAATAGGACAAAAGTAATGATTGAAGCCAAACTTTGGCTTTGTCATCATATTGAGAAGTTAAAAATTCCCAAAAGGGATTCAGATCCTTCAAGTCTGAAAGCTGAATGATGACCAAAGAACACAAAGATCTTCGATGATATTCATTGATGATCTTCTCGGTCACACGGAGCAGACCAATCAAGTGGGAAGGTTCGATTGAAGATCGAATCTTTGGTATTCATCATGAAATCACTCGGATTAATAGAGGTTATAATCCGAGTAATATCATATTCTTTGGCAAGGCTCTGAGGGTCGAAGGCATCAACTGATGTACAAGTCAGTCTGACTTGTACATATTGAGTGTTGGAACTATCAGACCTCCGCGGAGGCAAGCATGAAAGGATGGACAGATAACATAACTTTGATTTTCACGGACATCGCACAGAATATTTGGGGAGAGGACTATCACAAATCTCGTGCACAAGAAAGATTCAACACAAATGATTTGAGAGGCCCTATGAGAGACAGCCGATTTCGGAAAGAGACACACAACAAGGGATTGAAACAGAAGATTGGAGCAAGTCTGGCTCGCAGCGCTTCGCAGCGCTGCTAGACGGTATTTCAGAAGCGCAACTTGACATTTCCGTGACCAAGCTAGGTAGCTAGAGCCGCAGCGGCTTTTTTTTTCTCACACAACTTAGTAGCTGAAAGCGAAGTTTTTTTTCGCAGCGCCTCGCAGCGTTTCAGGCCAAAAAAAAACTTTTTTTAAATTTATTTTTGGGCAAGGTAAAGGAAACAAAAGCAGATCAAGAAATGGTACTCTTAGGTAAGGACTGTTGAGAAACCTAAAAATAAACGTTTTGTGATGTAAAGACCGTAATGAAAACATAAAACATAAAGAAAAATCAAATAAAAAGACATTTCAACAAACTTGATGTAATGTAAGGACTGTGATGAAAAAAGAAAAAATATGTATATTCAAAATCAATTAAATCAAAGTAAAAGAGTGTAGAGAAAACGATAAAAGGGATTAAAAAAGAGGTGAAAATCGAAGAAGACCAATCTAAAAATGACTCTTCCTAACTTTTTTTACAATCAACTTCTTGCCATACTCTAGTACCTTCCCTACTTCACCAAAGTCGCCAGTTAAGGGAATACCTTCAAGTGTCCAAATTTGACTGCTGACTAACATTTCAATCATGCGAGGAACCAATCCTCCTCGCTCTGCTGTGCAGACTCGTATTACTGATCCTCAGTGGGGTTTGAGCAGCAGATGCAGCCGGCGTTGCTAGATAATCCCGAGCCAAGATGGATAAAACCGGGTATTTACACCCATGAGTCTTTAGAATTTTGTGTATTAGTAAGGGATACAATGAATGACTAAATAAAAAGGAAGGGGTACTCACTCTCCACCAGTCTAGTGCATGTTCTGGGTTGTTTGCATCAGGAGATAACATCGGATCAACACCTTGAATATATCGTTCAAGCTCGTTGATATTGCCGGATGTTGCAACCTCATCATACAGGTTCAAGAAGTCCCCTCCAAATCCTTTGTCAGGCTCAGGCGATTTGCTTGAGACTGTGGTGACTGGTTGATTACGAAGGTCGGTCGCCTCGCTTTCAAGTGTAAAAACACTTTCTAAAAGTTCCATTGCTCGATCATGACTGGCCGAGTCTTCCCCAAATGCGCGGGCAAAGAAACGGACTCGTAGACTTGGGTGGAAAATGCTGGCTAGAACAAGTGTGTCGCAATCGAGGGCTTCATTGAGATATAAGGTGATTTTACTTATCATTATATCAACCATTGGGAACAATGGATCATTCTCGTGCATTTTCTTGAGTCGCTCTTCCATTGACGCCTTGAGTTGTACATATTTAACTAACACCATACACCCTGTGGGCTTATCACCCTCCATTTCTCGGGTTAGAATTTTGTATGGCTGTAGAGTGTAATTCAAGTAATCAGAAAACATAATGGATCCAATTCAAAGTGGTAGTTGAACTACGTACAGTGAGAATATCAAGCATGTCACGCATTGCTTGCCAATCTCCAACTGAGAATACAAGCTCTTCAAAATAGCCGTACTTCTTACCATCTTTCCGTGGACGTCGTTTTTTTGAATGCACCTCAGCTAGATCGTCTTTCATGACTCGATCGATTAGCTGAAAGGGGAAATGAAATAAATTGGATGGGAGTTCAATAGATTTTCACAAATAAAGGCGGGGAATCAATAAGAATGATGTTGAGTCAAATGATAAAGAACCTGGCTTACGTCTCGCGCCTCCCACATTCGCTCCCAGCGTTCAGCCTGGATGCCCCATCGAATTCCGTGTCCTGAGAGGAGTGCCTTGAGCGCAGGTAATTCATCTGTTTTGCGTTGAGCGTTGACCCTTTCTCGCCGACGATTGAAATCAGCACGGTGAGCACTAGACCGTGTAAGTTTCTTGTTAACTGTGTCCATCTTGATTGGAACAATTTCAATCAAGAAGTCAGTATGTGAAAACCGCAGTGAATGAGATCTAGGGATTGAAATCGATTTACTTACATCTTTGGTCAAAGATTTCATATATGTATCGCCCAGAAGGTAAGCGGTCTTGCGATTTCGATAAGTTTGAGGCTCATCGTCTTGTTCACAATCTTCCTCTTCCTGGTCATCATTTGAGCTCGAATGATCTGTATCATTTGAGTGATTGCTTTCTATGTCGTCGTCAAAATCTTCACTATCAGCATTGTTCTCATCTGCATCTAAGTCCTGGACCCCGGGTGTGCTACTGAGGCCGTCCAAGCCATCTTCTTCTTCTTCAATTACCGCTAGGACTTCCACCGGTGGAAAACGACCCAAGGTGCTGTGTCGAATACGTCTTGGTTTCATTCCAAGTGCGTCCAGGCCTGCCTTCACAATTAATCCCATTTTATGGCAGAAGCATCGAACTGACATTGTTTTCGGTTTCCACATAAGCTGATGATCTTGAACAAAACTCTGTTCCTCGAGCTGTCGATGGATTTCGCGGCCCATGGTAAAATTATTGCTTCCTGAATCGGATACACTGGCGAGCATGTAAAGGTTGGGTTAGGGTTAGTAAATGAAACCAAAGAAAATACGCTTTGATAATGAAGAAAACTGCGACATGCTCTCAAAAACACATCCGGGTGTTTTTGAGAGCATACGGAACCAAGCTCAGAGATCCGGCTGAGAGCTTAGGTTCCTGAAGCAGGAATGAGTGAAAGAAAAAAAAATAGAATAAAATAAAATGGGGACTTATCTTTTTATATAGTCCATTCTTTTTCAAGATGGCTACCATCGGCTCAGCAAGTAAATGCCCTTGATGATGCCATGCGACAAGTTTCAAACTTAAATGCCGAACAACATACTTCCAATCTTTCTTGATGTAAGAGATTGACGCCCCGATGAAGGCGTGAAGGTTTCCCTTCACTGTCCAAACATCTTGGATAAGACAAAATTTGCTGTCCAGATTCTGGAACAAATGAATTTGAAAAATATCAAATCAAATTGAGATATGTTCATAAGAAGAGAAAGTTGCATTGAGACAAAGTCGAAATAAAAAAAGGGTTGCTTACTTTGAGCTCTTTTTCAATCACTAATCCACGAAGTGACAGATAGAGGCGTTTGGCCTCTTCAGCGGACCATTTTCGGCCAAATACACGCGCATCGGGGCGCAGCCAGTACAAAATTGCCCTAAGAATTGGGTCTTCGATTCGTATGAACGGCAATGCATGTGAGACTTGCCACACCGAGAGGCACTGATTCAAAGTTTTGTTGGAAAAGGTTGGTGGACCGTTGACAAAGGCGGCTAAGGAACTTTGGTTTTTCTCTTGAAGACGCTGAGTACGTAGATTGGATTCGGTTGGTGGGAGGTTGGCACCGGCAGAGATGGCCATGTTGCGACGTGGGCAGCCGGCACCCGACTTACCAGCTTGCTTGCTACCATCTCTGTGTACCTTGAGGTTGGATCGAGAGCTACCACTGATCCTGACAACCTTATGGCACCAGAGACAAGGGTAAGACAAACCTGGTTCATCAAGAGGCTAAAAAATCGGTTCAATGTCAGCTATTACAACAATCTTGGTAGAAGGTAATGATTGATGAATAATAACTAGAGAGACTTACATCTTGTTCTCCATGAAACGCTTGTCCAAAGAACACATAAGGACTGTCGAATTCCTTGACAGGCTGGTTCCTTTTCCTTTTGGTGAGACGAAGGTTCTCTTCGTCGGAGTCTTGTGCCAGATCGACGTCAGGAGCACCAGAAGCAATCTATAGTGATTGATGACAAAGGTAAGTAATCAATACTATTCTTTGGGAGACATGATCTTGAATCTTTGACTTACCGAGAGTGATGCTTGACTGTTCCTGCCCCTGAGAGCAATGGACTGCACTCCAGAACGCTCATCATCGTCACCAGATTCAGAGACAGAGTTTTGATTATTCGTGGTTCCAGTGGCCTATAAATCGATGTAGATGATTAATGAGTTATGAACAAATGAAGATCTAGGTATAGTAGGAAAGAGAGACTCACTGAAGACGATGGACGAGAGACCGTCTTAGATCGGACACGTCCAGTCTGGCGAATTCCCACCTGGTCTCCTGGTAAGGAGGCGGATCGCTCACGGCGTCGGTGGACATGGCAGTCTCTGACATCCCTGACAGTGAACAAATCCCCCACGCCACCTAGGCCACGACGAGAATCAGATGATGGGATAATCATCCCAGGTGCTGGTCTTGCTGGGGTGGTTATTCGAGAAGAGCGACGAGGAGGGGCAGTAGACGCATCATCGGTCTCGTATCCAGAAGGAATGAAGGAATCAAGAGTTTGCTGCTTGTGAGACATTTTCGATTCGATTTTAGAGAATATATTTAAAGAAAGTGTGATATGATTAGGGTAGATGTAAAATTGGAAAAGAAGTCAGATCAGAACTGATAGATGATACTGGTGTTGCTGTGATTGAGAGTTTGGAGGAAAGACTTGCGTACCTTTATACTCAAAAATAGGTAAGCACCGGCTCCCATCCGACTGATCGACCAGCAACTGTCCACGTTTGAAAACACGGCGTATCAGTAAATGAGGTGGCTATCGTTGGTTAGAGAGAAACACTAACCTGTTACCCATACAACTACTGCACAAATGATGAATGTCCACGTTTTGTGAGATCGCGAGTTTTCAATTGAAGTCGTTTCGATGTGAATAGTCGAAGGTGTGAGGATTTGTGGCTTGAGATAGCAGACCTTCTGTAACAGAAGATTTGTAGGAATGATCGGTTAGGACAGAGATAGTGATCGAAATGGTGTAAAGGGTGGTGATTGTTGTAATGGGGGATGTGTCGGAAGGGTTAGTAAGGAGAGATCGTGATTGAACTTCAAATTGGTGTAGTAAGGGTTGGGTGGGTATTCAGGGAAGCGTGGCGTTAGTGTAACTGATAGCCTCGGGGTATCCGAAAGCGGACAGCGCAGCACCCAAAAAACCGGAGCCAGAGTAGTAACTCGAGGCGTAGCTCCCGGGTCTTTGGAGCCCCGGGTAGTTAAGCGGTAGCCCCGGGCGCCGCGCTAACGCGCGCTGCGCGCTTCTGGCTACGCTGCGAGCCAGACTTGATTGGAGTTCAACTCAAGCGTTGTATATCGCCTATATTGGTAAAGCCTGCTTACATCAAGTTTTGGGATGAAACCATTCATACCGATTCAGGTAAATAAGGAACAAGGTAAAAAAAAGAAATATATCTACTACAAATGCATATGAATGACTATATATTAGTCACTCGCATTGTGTTGAAGGTAGGCTCGGATTCATTCTGTGAGAACAAGGTTGGTTAGTGGACCCGCAATAAGAGCTCGGGGCTGGAAAGATGGGCCAGGTGCCATGACTGACCACTTAAGCGCATTTGGCGAGCTTGGGCCCCCGCAAGGAGGCGGCCAGCGATGGCTTGGGCGATACCGCGGCTGATTAAAGATGACTCGGTCATCTGGGCTGAGGGAATCAGGTCGGTCCAACTCTCAACGTGCATTTTAGCCAAAGTCAATCGGGTGTTGATGTCCTCAGGTGGAATATCACAGGACATCAAGAAGGTTTCCAACATCGCCTCAGGAGCCATCACCTCGATGCCGTCCAAGGTGGCATCTGAGAGGACGGTCGAGCTGTCTTCTGAGTCGGAAACCCATACGATGTTGGGTTTAGATTGACCTGGGATGGGAAAGATGAAAGCATGTCGTGGAAAAGATCATGGTCAGTGATACAATCACCAGGGGACATGCAAATTGAACGGTTGGCCTGACCTTGTTCGGTTTTGACCTTCTTGTTATGATTTTCGGACTCAGCGGTGGATCCATTCAACGGAGCCAAAGAACCACCAACAGGAGCAGGAACGATGGGGACATGATCAAAGAAGGAGCGTTTACTACCTACTTGCCCTTGTACAGCCCAAGCGGGCAGGCGAGCTTCAGCGCGGTCACGAGCGCTCATGGACTTGTGAAACACTCGTCCCTTGATCATCTCGCAAATATAATCAGGCGTGTAGGGGGCAATGGCTCGAGTGGTCATTCCGTTGGCCTGGAAGTCAAGGATGGTGATGCAATACCAACAGGGTTCAGCATAGCCTTGCCTGAATGGCGTCTAGATTGGTCACTTACCTCCTCTTGAGCCCAAATGTAAGGGCATCTCAAAGTGAAACGATATTGAAACATTGGATCCCAAGGCGCGACCAAAACTGCACCATCACCTCCAGAAGATGATTCTTCCGCATGCTGATGAAAGATGGCAGCAGTCGCCTCGTGTAGAGCAACCATATGCTCAGAAGCCTGGAAGATAATCACCCAAAGATCGTTAGCCCCAGAACGATGAGAACGAAGAGAAGGAATGTTAGAACTAGTCAAGAATCTGACAAACCTCTGCGCGCGCATTTTCCGCGGCCAAATCTTGACTAGCAGGTTGAGTACCACCAGCTGAAGCAATAACCTTTTTAGCCTGAGAGGCCTGTGAAGCATAGAACAAGATATATGAGTCAAACTGATATGTACGAAGTGCAATTCGGGAAGACTTACTAGCGCGAGTTTCTTGGCCTTGACGGCCTCATTTTCAGTGAAGATCATAATAGTACCTTCCTTTTTCTTTGATTTGTTCAAGTTGTGAACATACGATTGCCAGGTCTGGATATCTTTGATGACCACCTTGGACCGACCAGTCACACCTTTCCAAATACAGAGAGGAGCTAGGTCACTCTTGAGGATCAGGTGTTTCATACCATCCGAGTATTGATCACAAACATCGGCACACATCTTCTTGAAATCATTGAACGATTTCCCGTAAAGGCAGCTCTTCATTTCGATTACATTACCATCGTTGAAGACTTTCGAGTCGACTACATTGACCTTGGGAGTGGCTGTCTTACGAGTGGTGGTGACGCGAGTGTTGCTGGGCGGGGTGATCGTGTCGGCCTCATCATTGGAGTGGATCTTGAAATACACTCCAATGGTGACTTCGTGAGACTTGTTGAAACAAATGCGAGAATCCGAACCAATTCGGAAAAGCGGCTCTTTGTGAAAACGTGCGGGAGCATCATCTCCCTCGTAAATGGTTGATATAGGCTCAAACACTGAGAACAAATGAGTTATTGGACATGGGCATGGTAGATGAAGAGGAGTGTGAGGATTATCTTACATGCGTTCATATGGCCAGTCACTGACTCCTGCGAGTTGGTGACGTTGAGGTTACTTAATCCAGACATTTCTGAAGTAACGCAAATTGAAGAGAAATTAGGTTACTGCTGAAGAAGGAAAAAGCGAAGCAGAGGGATGACTGACTATTGCTATATTGATGACTAAATCGAACAAGCTGCATACGAAATGAGGGAGCGAAAAGGTAAGGAATTGGCTTATAACCCAAAGAAACGAGAGAGAAAACGAGAGAGATATATTGGGATAATGAAACTGACTATAGACGAGTTGTACGTGAGTGGAAATTGATTTGGAACAATGGATATTTAGCAAGTGAACCGAAAGACAGGCTTGAGTAGTGGATTGCTTGAGGTGGGAGGTTGGTAAGTTCATCAGTCGGTTCTTATAGCAACCAAAGACCAAAGAGATGACAATTTTTTGAGCTTACTTGGAAATCTGCTACGAGAGACTGGAGAATCTACAACAATCAATGGGCCAAATCCGCAGAAACAAAGGGCAGAACGCAAGAGTTTGTCAGAGGAACGAAAACGTGAGTCGGTTGTGATCAAACAGGCCAAGAAGCTCCAAAACGAGCTTGAAGTCTCAATGTCGATTAAGATAAAGTTGTTGGTTTTCGAGATAGATTGATATCTTGAACTCAGGTCAGGTGGCCTTGATGGCAAAATTCGAGATTGAAAAAGCCTTGGGAGTCTTAGGAGCCAATGAAAAAACACGACGAGCGTCTTGATTCCTTGGAGATTGGTTTGAAAAGTTGGGATGAATCAGGCGCAACCTCAAGAACGTGGTTGAAGTCTCCAATTTGAACAAGATAAAGTTGATGGATTTCGAGATAGATTGTGATCCAGAAGTGAGGTGAGGTGGCCTTGAAGGAAAATGTCCAGATTCGAACAGCGTTTGGAGATTTGGGAGCCAAATGAAAGTCGTATTCGAGGGTGACAAGGGTCCAGCTGGATTCCTTGGAGATTGGGTTGAAAAGTGTCGTGCGTAAGGGGCTGATAGCGATTACAATTTGGGATATGAGAATCCAATGGAGGCTGATATTGAGAGAGTTGAAGCCAAAAGTTGGTAATAAGGTTGAGTGATTTGAAAGATGATGTGAAAAGAAATCAAACAATTGAACAACTCAGATCCATGACGGACTGGTCCCTAAAGAGAGGTGGTGTGAAGAGGACATGCGTGCTATGTAGGTGGAGGTCGTGATGTCGTGGGGCATGGAATCAAAAGAGAGGATGTTCGGCCAGGGTCAGCCCAAGGCTGTCAAACACCATTGAGAAAATACGGTTGAAAATGAGTTTTGGACTTTGGAATTAAATCCCGTTGTAACACATTTACATGTGTTTCTACCGTTATTTTTTTTAACAGCTGTAAGTACAAAGCTGCGGGTCATCTTTGAAATTACGTTACTTGGTAGCTATCATTTGTTTGCGATTCACGGGTCGAAGCGGATAAGAAATTGATCTGCTCACCGGTTTCCTCAGAAATTGCCGAAATATTTGTGAATCATTGATTATTTCCTTGTTACCTTGAAGAGGCTTGAGAAACATGAAGCTTGCGGGGAGCATAATGCCATGGTTTTGTTTCCGATGAGATCTGTGCTCTCTTCTGACGGTTTGAAATTATTGTTTGCACGCCGGACTATAAAGAGTTTGGTGAGCCGCATTTAGGCCTTGGTTGAAATGGGAGGATTAGGCGGTCTTTTGTGGTGAGTACTGGACGTATGCAAAGTCAACGACCGCTACTGAATGTGCGAAACTGTCCGTGAGGATTATGGTATGATTTGGTGGTCAAGGAAGCTTGGTTTTTGACTCTATGGGGTGTAGGATCAGAAAAATCTGAGGTCCAAAGTCGATTACTCAGAGGGGCTCGAGTGCCAAAAAATGCAGTTGAAACGTTTTCACTACAATGATCGATACGCCAGCTCCCCGGATGATTTTATAAAGTTTAGAAAGACTGGATCTGTAGGGGATAAGAATGATGCTGCTCAAATCAAAATACATGAAGCAAAACGTAGGAGTAGTTCGTAGGTGCAAGTGGAGAAGAGCCAGTATAATAACTAGGACCCAATGCCCAAGCTTTTGTGGAATTGAACACATTCAAGTAGGTTCTTTAAAACAGTAGCAATTTGAAAACATGTAGGCAGAGGAAGTGAAAAATATCAGATCTACCCGGGTACTTTTAGTATTCCACAGCCGAGTCACTGGGAAGAGTCGACCACGAAATCAAATCACATTTTGGCTTGTGCTTATAATAATGACCTATTAGTCTTCAGCGTTGAGCTGGTCTGGAAGTGTCTGGAAAGAAGAACAGTGCCGTTTTAATCTTGTTTCACATGATTAACAACAATTGGTACATACTGCAATTTCATCCCGAGTCATAGGATTCATGAAGTGACATTGGATTACAATGGCTTCAAAGGCATTCACTAAATACAAGTCCGGAGTTTCTTCATCCGGAGTGATTGTGGAAACAATATGCTTTAAATTGGGAGGTGGGGTGAAGGGCTGTGGAAGCTCCGGATTCAACCTACTTTCCCAGTACAAATTGTGCGTTCAATATTGGGTAATCAGAACTTCTACAGTTTTGAGCATGCGCCAATTTAACCATCTTAGATCTTCTTCTTCTGAATTGCAGTATTTGCTCCGCAATACCCTAAGATGTGGAAAGATGTGGTTACGGATGTCGTGCGGCACACGATCAGGGATAGACATTATGAATAAGGTTTCAAGGGTCGCAGTCAGACCCAAAACCATTGCAGCTGTTGGGTCGGGGTGGCTTGGCGGAAAAATCTCGAGGCAATTGATTGGCCTTTTGTTCGGGCGACAGATGTCAATTGCGGCGCGGCAATTTCTGGGGTGGCAAGAGATATAAAAATGGGTCAAATTTGGGAGTGAGCCAGGACGTAGGCGCATCGATGGCAGATCGGCAAATCGAATGGACAAAGATTCCAATGATATCATTCCCTCCAATAGAGTTTTTAAAGTATTGTAGTCGTGCATCGTGTGTGGAGATTGAGATCCATGGATGACGAGAGTCTTGAGGTTTGTAACACCTTGGATGGCATTTGTAAGGACGGTTGAAAAGCCAACAACGTTGACATAGCGTAATTTCAAGTGGACTAAGGACCAGGCACATATTGCGATGATCGATGCTGCACCTTCTGGCAAGATGGACCAGGCATACGGATATGGAGTGCATGTTGAGACGACACCGGCCAGAGACACAGTCAAGGGCATCGTGTACCAAATCCCATTGAGGCAGAGGTTGCGAAGCGGAGGAAGGCTGGGTGTCACAAATCGACTTGTCCACATATCGAGAAGGCTATTGATCATAGGTTCACCGGTTAAACGCACAGTTAGAAACACCAGGGATTTGATAGCGCTTTGCCAAGAGCGTCCCAGTAAGCGCGACCAAAGGAGGCGTCTAATGTATTTGTGTCAAAGCCATGCAATGTCAACACTGTTGCTGAAGTCAGGAGGAATTACTGGAATTTGGGCAATCAAGTGGCCAATGATGATTCCAATGACTTCGACCGGCAGGCCGTCTGGGCAGGATACGGGTGGCGGTGAAATAGGGTTTCCAGACATAGTGCGATCTGTTAAGGCAAAGTCCAGAGCCGTTAAAAAGTTGTAGTAATAAGAATTTGAACTGGGCAAGAACCGAGTGTCTGTCGAATGGAACTTACATGTTATTATTGAAGAATGTGAAAGCTCGGTACTGGGACAAAATCAGCACAAGGAGGTTTAACAAAGGAGGAGTGTTAGAGTGCCAAACTCGAGAAAAAATGGAATTGTTGAATCAATTTTGAGTCAAAGCTGATTGGCTGGCTGTAAAGCCAAGTGGCGGGTGTGAATCCAAGGATAATAAACCACATGTATGGAAATGGCCAGCCATGTGGTGTTCGCTTGGGACGGTGACATAACAACAAAAAAATGCAGGATTTTCACAAATCAGCATGGCAACGGGTTTGTCATATCGTGTCAATGCTCTTGGATAGGAATGGCTTGCCATGTGTCGTTCACTCGTCACGGCGACAAACCGACTGAAGTGTCCAAAAGATCCGGAAACCATCATAATGGCAAGGAAGATGAAGGGAAACCGCCAAAGGTATTGCATGTCATGTTGCATGGATGCTTGGTAGTTGAGATCGTTTAAGTGGCGAGTGTGGATGTCGACACCTCGAGAACGGCGCCCATGGGGATTGGCTGATGTTTGGATCATGGTGGGCAAACAAAGATGCTGGGACCTGAGAATAAAGAGGATCGAGGGAGGGTGAGGAGAGGCTAGGACACAGCATTCAAACGGTGCCCATGGAAATTGGCTGATGTTTGGATTGTGGTGGGCAAACGGGGATACTGGGTGCTGAGAGTAATGAGGATTGAGGGAGGTTTTGGAGAGGCTAGGACACAGGATTCAGGTGATAAGTGTTGTTTGTTAGGTGCTTATGGGTGTATTAGGGTTCTGTATGATGGCTAAGGGGTTTAATCCAGTTTCGCCGAGAAACACGGTCGTGCCTTTAGTTTTATGATAAGTAGATAGGTGGCCAAGAATTGGTTTACCCTGTAGTTGAAGGGTCGAACATTTGGTGAAGTGGGTATATATGATATGAATAAGTTGAGTCCCGTTGACTGTAGCGTGTCGGCTCCAAAGGGGTCCAAAAAGCGTGTAAAGACACTCGAGCGTGGATGACTGCCAACAACGATTGCGAGAGCCTTGCTTTGTACCTTTTTTGTATGACTGATACATAGTCAAAGGCTGGCGCATGACATTCTGAGACCCTTTGGGTCTTCCTGGGCCTCTTCTCTCCTTCTTTGGCACATTCCCCAAAAGTTCGTCGGTGGTATCGGGAGGGCGGCCGTTGTTTGCGATGAACTTTCGTTTTGTTGGTTTGGCCATTTGCATCCCTTTGACTAGACCCTCCCAATTCTTCTGGGAAGAGCCATAGGCAACAGAGATCCCTCGGTTGAGATTTTGGTGATCTCTTTCCAAGCTTTGGACAAAAGCCAAAAGTTGAATAATACCCCCAATCACGTTACATTTCCCAGGGCTGGCAAAGGAAGTTAATGTCAGAAAGTGTTTGGAAGGTATACATGTCACATTATGCATACCAAAGTAGGTAGTAGATCCTGTGCTTGGATTCTTGCCTGTTAGTGGTCGAAGGTAAACCATCATCCCGGCCTTGCCTTTTGCGTTTCCTTGACACATCGCCAGTTTCTTCGCCGGTTTTGTCGTCCAAAGGTGGATCATCCAGAGGCATGCGCTTCCTGGCAGGGAAGAGCATGGCTTGGATGTCCGAGGTGGGCCACCAGTCCAGCCACCTCTTGGCACAAGGAAATGCCCAGGATAATACGACGAACTTGTCATCAAGTGTGTTTCCAGGGGTGTCCGGCTCCATCAATGCATTGCATTTAGACACCCAGCTTTTCTACAAGCGCAAGGATAATGTTAGTGGGGTGGTAAACGTGAAGAGTGGTTCATTAAAGCGTAACTTACCTCATCCTGCCAAGGGACAATGGATCTGTTTTTCCTGAGTCAAGCAATAGCCTGGCCAAAGTGCTGTTCGCAGCTGTGTAACTTCAAAAGGGCGACTTCTCGAGATACATTGAACACATCCATGTAGGCTCCAGTAAATCCAGACTTCTGTGCCAGTGAAAAGTTGACAATTTGTTCCGTGAGTCTACTGTTCTGTTCTTCAGACATTGATGTTTGTTCAATCTGGACAAAGAGGGTCTTGAAGTGTGCTTTGTAATGATGCTGACTAAGTCCGTTGATCCACGAGAGAAGGATGGGGACCCATCTTTCTAGCTTTTCTAGATACATAGAAGTTGTCAACAGGTATCCGTTTTCGAAAAAGCGATAGGTAACGTCAGATAAAAGGCCTCCTTTGTAAGCTATTCTGTCTTCTTCATTGACAAGGATTTGAGCCATCCAGTTACTTTGGAAAGTCAGATGAATGTCTTCCACTTTGAAAGACACCGACACAATTTACATTCCTTGACTGGAATGAGATTTGAAGCAGAATTGTCAGCAAACATGATTGGCAAAGTAAGTCAATGTTCTAATGACTTACGTGGACCAATATATAAATTGCATGAGCCATTTGTCACTGGCCTCCTTATCTTGTGAGTCCGGCATCAGACCTTCTTGAACCAGGAATGCACGACACAAATTACCCAGGCGGTCGACGTGGTCAAACAACGGATGAATGTCAGATACCGTACGTATAGGAGCAGTCCCTACATGGGCTCGCCCAACCTGGTACAACATAATAGGCCAGTCATTAACCTCTTTGTAATACGCAATCAGAAAAGAATAATAACAGAAGAATAAGCATACCTTCAATGATAACGGACCAGTCGTGGGGTCATTTATGATGATCTCTTTCAACTTTTGCTTTGCCAAGGGGGGCGCCTTTTTAGCCAAAGGCCAGACATGATCATGCTGGCCTTGATTTCGTAGTAGGCCGCCATTGGTTGGTTTGTGTTTGTCAATTTGACATTGGGCATCACATGGAATGTGAACCTGAATGCCGTCACACCCACTGATGGGACACACGTCGCCACTGTGGATAGAAGATTATATGAGTAAAAATATTGTGACTATCTCCCAGAAGAAGACCTTACTAACCGCTCTATCAGCTCAGAGATCATGTGGCGGCCTGTTGGAGGTGATCCGGTTAAAGGGCATGTTGAAACCAAACAGAGAATTACACCCAGACACTTGAATCCTAATATTTTCCAGTATTTATGGGAGTTGTCCGTCTTCATGGTATGCGTCCAACCAATAAAATCAAAGTTGGTAACTGGTCTATTGGGGGCTTTGACAAACACGGTATTTCCGTTTGGATAGACGGGATACATTTGCTCGTCAAGTTCACAACCGTGGTCGATGAAATTGGTAGAGCTGGATATATTGGTGGGTAGTTGAAGTTGAGATTGTCCGGGAGTTTCACTACCACAATCAGATTGGTATCAATGATCTGATTCAGAGATATGTGTCTTCTTTGCCTTTTTGGCCTTGTTTTTTTTGGATTTTTGTTTTTTTGAGCGAGGTGGGATCTTGGTGTCGGTATCTGCGTTTGCTTGGTGCTGGTGCTTTCGCGTCCAATCCCGCTCATGCTTTGATATGGTATGTTGAGAAGGAGATTCATTGGTTCTTTGTCGGAGTTTCTTCTTTTTGGACTTTTTAAGCTTTGGGCTTTCCGGCGTCTCTGTCGAACTACGCTCAGTATCGGTCATAGTGATGAGATCTGACACTGATGACTTTGTAGGTGACGGCTAGAGCAGATGATTGGCAACACGGGTAATGAGGATATCTTTGCTTTCAATATAATCCAACTCTTGTGTACATTGATTGGGGATTAAGGACCGTTTGTCCTTGCTATCGGATGGACACAAAGTCATAGTTGAAGGGACGGAAGGCATCTCGAATGAATCTTTATCCTCAGGGTAAACTCCAGCTGGATGTGAACCCTGTTGACCCATTCTAATATGGAATTTCAATGTTAGGGCCTTGTTGAGAAGTGTAGACTGGGGTGATAATGATGAAATTGGGAACCAATGCGATAAATCTGATAACATTAGAGCTCAATCTTCTGACAAGTACAATCCTTTAACGCTGGAAAGGGGGATATCCATCAAGGATCGAGGAGGAAGGCATCCACATTTTGCCGAATGTGGGGGAATCATGGTCAGAGATACACATTGATAACGTGGCATGTTCATCACTATCAGGTATGGGACATCTGATATTGGCGGAACCGTGGAACCTTATGAATAGGAGGGAAGAGGGCAATGCGATATTGGTGTAAATAGGTGGTGTAAAATTGAAGGTTGAGGGGGTAAAGTGGTAATATTGCATTGGGGGTTTTACACCAAAGAATCCGGTGTAAAAACCACGGTGCCCCCCGTGATATGTATCTTTACACATGAATATTTTACACCGACACACTCGGTGTAAAACACCCAGGGTAAAAATACATATCACGTGCCATTTTCAGAATTTTACACCTAATCTTGTACACCAGTTTTCTGCACCAACATGAAAAAAAAGAATAGGTGTAAAGTTATAAACTACAGTGTGTAATTTATAATTTTACACTGACTCAATTTACACCGGATAATCCGGTGTAAAGTGCATGGTGTAAAATTCTCCCACCCCATATTATAATGAACATAATGAAGCTAAGACTTTGGCTGTGGCTACAAAGAAAATGGAAGAAGCACGCAAGAGACGTAAAGTTGCAAAGGATTTGGCGCTTGGTGGCAAGTCACCAGAAGAGGTGCGAGATTATCTCAATGTCATCTTTCCAAAAGAGGAATGATATAACAGGTGTGTAGTATTCCCTTCTACTATAGCTCTGCATCTTCCAGATCATCAGGGGAAAATAAAGTCCCATTGGTGGGAAGATCGTTGGCGTCATTGCCATCAATGGCAGGTAAAGATATCTGCATGCCCGCATGCGCAAAGATGCACATGTTGGTGAGTTCTCATATAGTCTTGGCCCGCTGTGATACTCAGGGAATTGAGGTGGTTCAGATGATGATTATGATGGTTGTTTGAAGACGGAGAGATGGAGAGATGGAGA